AGGAGTGGTGCCTCGGTGCGCACCCGGGATCCGAACCCGGGCCGCCGGCAGCGGAGAGCACGCACTTAACCGCTAAGCCACGGGGCCGGCCCTAAAGGGAGTTTCTTAGTGGAATTTGAAGTTATAGAATTTGGAATTTATAGTCAGTGCAATTTAATCTCCCATTACTATAACTTACGTTAATGATACGTGGATTTGTTGATAGACACTAGGACGTATTTAAGTGCTAAATAATAATGCATCATTCTAAATTACCCACTTTGATTATTACATATTTGTTACTAAATATAGAAAAGCACTGAGAATAACTAGTTCAGATACTTTTAATATGTAACACAATTCACATTAAATGTTACCATATTTATAATTTTTTTCTTAGAATACATTTTGCCTCTACTTATCTAGTTGTTCTCCAAATGTAGACTAAAAATACCATGCTAATATTATATATTAATATGTAAACTTTCTTATTATCAAATCAAAATCAGAATTCCTTATCCTGATTTCTAACAGGATACTCCACATATCCTGCTGTTATAATAAATTCTCATCCATTCTGACATTCAATATCCTCCATGTTGGAGTTCCTTAACTAATCCAATGTTTTATTTAGAAAATGTATCAGGTTCATAAGCCAGAGCTTCCTTTGCCCTTTTTATATTCAGGAGTGCTAGACAATTTCCTTTCCTTGTTTGTTTTTAGTCTTGGTCACTATTTGCGAAGTACTTAATATAAGACACTATGCTAAAAAAGAAAGTCTAAGTGTCATTTTTCTCCATCCCAAATTATGCATATTTAGTTTTTCTCATTTTCCAGTTTTTTCATTTTTATATTTTTATTTTTTTGCTCTTTCTCCAGCTTCTGGTCTTGTTTTAAGCATCATTTTGACGATAATAGCCTGGCAGGTGAAGGAATGCTCATTCCAGTCACCATATCATCAGAATGGTGTGAGAAGGGTAGAAGTCTTCTCTTTCTGACCTTTTCTGTAAAAGCAATGTGCAGTATTTTCAGTGTAAACTAATTGGATTTTATTTTATAATTTTTATTGTATTGTTCTTATTATAAAAGGAATACCTGTTATTTGTAGAACATTAAGAATTAAGGGAAAAATTAAAGTCTCTCATGTCATATATATTCTCCAAGTTTATTCTTTATGCCTACATATGTATTTTCTTTCAAAATTGGATCATACTTTCCATATTTCATAACTTGTGTTTTCATATCACAGAATATTTTGAACATCTTTATATAGTTAAGCAATCTCATAAATAGTATTTTAAATAGTTTTCAGATATACATATATTATAATTGGCTTAATCAAACAACATTTAGGTTATTTCCATTTTGTCTGCTATAACTCTTTGATGAACACCATTATAGCTACACATATCCACATAATATATTTTTTAACTTGTATGGTAACACGTGAATCTCAACCCACAAATTCAAGTGTACTAGAGATCTAACCTTCTTTGTCTATAACTCAACATCATTTCTGATTCAGAGCACCCATCCTACTAGGGTCAGTTGGGGGTGGGAAGTAGGGGTACTTTCAATCAATCTTTCATGGGCTTTCCTCTGCCTTTTCCCAGATTTTTACCATAGCTCTTGAATCTTATACCCTGACAAGGCATCAAAGTCTGTGTGTGTGTATGTGTGTCCCTCACCCCGCCAGTCTTTTCAATCTTTTCAGTTTGGAGAAAATTCTTCCCCCTTTTTGTTTCTTCAAAACCCTCCGTCTAGTTCTAGAAATTCCTTTTGTCTAAAAGTTTAGGCCTTTGGAAAACAAAAGCCAGAAAGACTTGTAGACTCCTCTGCTTTCTGCCTTGCAATATGGCTCCCCTGGGACAATTAACACAGAGCCTACTTTCAGCTTGAATGGAGAGAAAGGGAAAGAAGAAAATAGAAAGAGGTAAAAGATTAAATGTCAAAATATTATCCTACCACGAGAGCAAATAGAGAAATGCTGACCATATCTCCTTTAGGCACATGAATTCCCCAGGACTAATTGAAGGTTAGGGCAAATACAATTCCATTTAACACCAAATATCCCTATGAAATGCAAATACAGCCCCATCTTCCTTTTCCAAGTTAAACTTATGCCTCCCAAAATATCAGGAAAAATGTTGAACTTGCAAAGGAGGAAAAAAAATAAGTGAAATGAGCAAATCTTGTATCTGAAATTCTTTTAGAATTCTAGCAAATGAAACCAAAGAGATATGAGTGAAACAGATAGATGATGGAAGTCCAATGTAAGCCCTGAATCTAATTGGATGTAACTCAGAGTTCTTTTATCCATAGCATTTTGTGATCTGAATTATTCTCCTGTAATCATTATACATTTCAGTTTTTACTAAGTTGAGTCTCCTCTAACATCTCTTCCCCTTTTATGGCTCTGTGACTGGGGCTGGATAACTCTCACTTTGAAATCCCATTTTGGAGGGAAGAAGCTGGTAAGAGAGAGGTGCCGCCTGGAGTGCCAGGCTATTTCTGACCTTTCCTTTGTTCTTTCTTGATTCCTTTATGCTAAGCCTGTTTAAAGGTAACATCGTAATCTTGACTCATAGAATTGTTGTGAGAATTAAAGGAAAAATGTATCTCAAGAGACTAACTTACAGTATTTGGCATAATAAATGGTAGCTATTAAAATATATGAGAAGTACTTTGTAAACTTGTAAAGTAGTTTACAAATATTAGTTATTATTACTCTCTTGGCACAAATTGAGAATAATAGTCTATTTAGAAACAAATAAATTTGTTTTTGTCTAAATCTCATGTTATCTTTTCAGCTGTTAAATAACTATTGCAGTAAATGGGACTCCTAGCTGCCTAGAATTCCTGAGCATAGAATCACTTGTGTCTAACTATTTATATGGGTGTTTGCTGTCATCTAAAATAGTAATAAATTAGAGGTATCTCAGAAAGCAGCAACCAAGCAACTGGCCTTGTAGCACATGTGTACCTTTATAAATCACGCCCCACATGTCTTAAAATGGTGACAGTTTATAGAGCTAACGAGAAGTTGCTTTCACTCAAGAAAGCCCACTTTTGTAAGGATGAAATATCACATTGACTAACCCAATGTCAGCTGATCCCCTGTCTTCTGAGTCAGCTGTGATGTCACCAATAAGCTTCATGTTGGGGCAACACCCAGAGGAGGTGCCAGCCAATGCAATTTACAAAACAGAAGCCAGCCATGAATTTAACCTTAACTATCATTCCACCTTCCTCCCATATTTTTAGAGTACAATGTTAATAACAGCAAACTCAACTTTAAAATTTTTAAAAGAGTGGGATGCATGTCCAGTTAAACTATCCCACCTTCATCAAGCAGTTTTTTCGGGGTGCCAACAGAATACCTGGAAATGTATCAGGACCAACATTTTATTGGGATTTCAGTTAGGTTGACAAACCAGATGTGACAGCCAGAAATTAACACACTAAATTCCAGAACCCAAGATATAAATGTGTTAGGAATGAGATGAAATAATACTTGACTTTTGAAACTAGTAGAGTAAGAAAAACATAGCCAGTTTATTGTAAAAACAAAAGTATGTCGTATGCTTTTCATTTGTAGGGAATTAATTAAACATTTCATCCTTATTGCTGTTGGATTGTGGAAATACCAGTAACCAGTGTTCTCAAAACCAGTACAGGTTCTAAAGTAACAAAATGAATCTATGTCATTAAGCTAAGAAGGCAAGGCCTTTGGCTCACCTATATAAATTTGACCACATTAAGGGCTGACCTTATGAATCAAATATCTTATCTAGGACCATTCCAGACTCTATTCCAATTCTTGATACTCTTTGAACTTGAAGCCATAACCCTCAACTATCGTTTATGTTATTTGGTTATCACACTTGGGAGAGCATTTAAGAAGTTCATAGTCCAAAGGAATGTTTCTAATGTGTTGTAATGTCCAGGCATACGCTCTGTGGGTTTTTTGTAATAGACACTGAGATAATTTCTTGGAAATAATAAAACTGCCTCTGGCCACTTAAATGCAAATACTAATCAAATTCCTGCCTCCCATGGCCTATGTGATCATCAGAAAGCAGTTCAATAAATAATTCCATCTCCACAAAAATGCCTCCATATTTTCCTCCCAACATTCAACTCTCCTCTCTTGAGACACGGAATCTACCCTCTGATGTCCAAGCCCCAGGCATTAATGTACCTCCCAACCTCTTTCATTCACCTGAATACCCCTTCAACATTGATTCACCATGCAAAATTTTTAAAAGAACACATTTTCCCCCATTGAGAAACGCAGCCAAGTATCATGGAAGAGTTTACTCAAATTTCCCAACTTCCTCTTGAGAGACCCTAAACAGACAAGGTCATTTGTAGGACCCCACCAGTTCTCTTAATAAAATTAATTCTCTAAAACTGGAAGTAGAGGGAAAATTTTCATGTGGGAGGAGTAACTGAACTTAACAGTCTTAAATCCCATCTGGAGAAGAAGTTTACCTTCTTCTTGGGGGTCTTAGCTTGATATTATGAAGGGAGTCGAATAAGAGGTTACCCTTGTAACTCTCTGCATTCAAAATCTCCCCCATGTTTGGGCATGTTCTGGTCCCATTTCTCTTATTTACTCTTATACTTCTTCTTCTATACTTTTATATTTTTTGTATTACTCTATTCACTTGTTTATTGACCTCAAGCAAGTCACTTAACCTATAAAAGCCTCCGGGTCTTTATCTTAAACTTGAGATAATGAT